CATTCCTGTTATCATTACCAGGTGCCCAATTATACAATGTTACCAAGAAAGATTAAAACTGAAACTTGTTTATGCATTTACTGATGGCATATTTGTATCCCTTCGTTAGGTTTTATTTAAAGTATTTTTCATTGTCTCCATTTTCAATAATAAATGTTTTATTTAGGACATGACATGCAAAATGAATAATCCCAACTTTCACTAAACTGCTAGCAATTTTGAGAATTTGAAATAAAAACACTAATCGATTTAATTTTGTATACAGTCATCTGTTTATTTGTTCTACCTGTTTTTCTCTTCGGATGACTTTTTGTTGACAAGGTGTTTAATCAGTAAATTTAAATGAGATATGTGTGCATGCACAGGGATGGCAAAGATCACTCATGAAAATTTCCCCTTTTTTTGATATATTAATACAGAAGGTTTAATTCCCAGAACACTATGAAGTCCATTATGTATGCCTGCTACTTTGTCTGATTCCCATCTTTGTAAGTTGATTTTTCCTTGCTTCTACTACATTTCAGTGGTTATGCAGCTGAAAATATCATTAGAGTCCTCCAAGGACAACGTATTGGAACCCTTTTCCATAAAGATGCGCATAAATGGGCCATAGTAAAAGAGGTTGATGCTCGTGAGATGGCAGTTGCAGCTAGGGACTGTGCCAGACGGCTTCAGGTCTCTTTTATGTTTTACTCCCACAGTTTCAAAACTTTGGTTCTTTTAGCTTTTTACTCACAGATTAAGAAACATTTAATTTATATACATATAGACTAAATTGCTCTCATTTATTACTTCTCTACTCAAAAGTAGCATTCAAGTTTGTCTTAATTACTCAACTACATATAAGAGTATAATTGAGAAAAATTACATAACGATATATAGGAATCCTAAAAAATCCAAAGTTTTGAAATGAAGGCGGTATCACTTACAAAATGCATGATGGATCATGGATGTCACCTGGCTGCCAGGGTACTATTCCTAGTTTAACATTTTGATCTCCCAATCTTACATTACAGGCTTTATCTTCAGAAGAGAGGAAACAAATTTTGCTAAAAATAGCTGATGCACTAGAAGCGCATCAAAAAGAGATCAGGAGTGAAAATGAAGCTGATGTTGCTGCGGCACAAGAAGCAGGATATGAAAAATCGTTGGTTGCTAGGTTGGTTTTAAAGAATGAGAAGGCAAGACAGTTCAACTAAAGAAGAAATTATTTAAGTTTTAACTAACTGTTATATTGGTAATGATAAATCATGATAACTGACAGCTTGCAAGCCTTGCGAACAACATTCGGATTATTGCAAACATGGAAGATCCAATTGGTCGAGTGTTAAAACGAACCGAGGTCATACATGGTTTATTATAGCTATATATATTATGGGTCATGGCACTTTTTCATTATGTGAAGTTTAATCAAATTCCGTTCTCATTATTGTATTTATTATGGATTCTAGTTTTACAATATGCTTGTAGATTAGAAAGAAATGAGTCGTGTTGTTTACAATTTTTTATAAGGAAGTTGCCAGAACTTTGCAGTACATGAACGTAATTGTTTCTTAGTTATAAAGTACATAGAACCTGTTTGGATAGAGTCAAGAAGGGCTTTTGCGGGTTCCTCTACTGAAAATGAAGAGAATTTTTCAATAAATAAGCTCTTTGTATTCGAACATGCTCATTAATTATGATGTTCTAAGAAGCTTTTCGTGGACACTTGATTTTACGGAGTTTTTAATAATAGTTACTGGTCTATAATATTTCTGACAGCTACCTTTTTATTCAGCTTGCAGAGGGGCTGATTCTGGAGAAAACATCATCTCCTTTAGGAGTACTTTTAATTGTTTTTGAGTCTCGCCCAGACGCACTAGTACAGGTAAATTAATATTTTCTTTTTTTTTCTTTTTCACCTTCTGTTAATATCTGGTTAGTTATTCTCAATTTCTCACTTTACCTTTCCAGCTTTCCTCTTTCCTTTATTTATGATTCTTTTTCAATTTGCTGTCTAGATAACATGCTTGGACAACTTATATTACCTACTAAGCTGTGGGTGGACATTAAAATAATATGAATTCTTCTTATATCACATTAAAGGATGAAACTTATTTAGATTCAACTAGTGCCTACACTGCAGTTAAAAAAAAAGTCTAGATTGATTATCTCTGATTTATATGCTGTTTATCTGCATTCTAAGCCAGTAGCTTCATGTAATCTGAACAGATAGCTTCCTTGGCAATCCGAAGTGGGAATGGGCTTCTCTTGAAAGGAGGCAAGGAGGCTAAGCGATCAAATGCAATTTTGCACAAAGTTTGGTTTCAAATTAAATGATAATTCGTGAACCATTTTCTTTTAAAATTATATTTGATTTTGGAAGTCTCATTAATAAACATTTTCTGGGTAATTTGTCATTGCTGGAATTTCAGGTAATTACTGAAGCCATATCAGATACTGTTGGCGCAAAACTTATTGGACTCGTGACATCAAGAGCAGAAATTCCTGAGCTACTTAAGGTCAATACAAAGTAGATATTCATTTCTGATTTATAAACATGCTTGCTTTGAACATTGGCACCTTTAACTAGAGCTAGGATCTGCATTCTACTTTTCCTCAGTTGGATGATGTAATTGATCTGGTGATTCCAAGAGGCAGCAACAAACTGGTCTCTCAGATCAAGAGTTCCACTAAAATTCCTGTTCTGGGTCATGCTGGTAAGACCTTTCTTCTTAACATACAAGCATTGCTTGCTATGATATATGATAAATCCTTTTGTCAAAAGAGTTTACTATGATAAAGCCACATTATTGCCAAACCAGATGGAATTTGTCATGTCTACGTTGATAAATCCGCTGATTTGGAGATGGCACGGCAGATTGTGCTGGATGCAAAAATAGATTATCCATCAGGCTGCAATGCTATGGTAATTTCTATGTACTGAATTCGCAAGCTTTATTTCCCAGCAATTTTTTCTTACACACTTCTCAATTTGTAGGAAACACTTCTTGTACACAGGGACTTAAAAGAGAAAGGTTGGCTCAATAATATTATTGTTGACCTAAGGACAGAAGGTATGCCTTGTGGCAAACATTTCTATTTGAATTATCTGACTGACATTGAAGAATGGTTTTCTTGAAGTCAATTGGACAGTCTATTGTATCTTGTAACGGTGAAATTATTTAAAATTTATGCAGGTGTTGCACTATATGGAGGACCTAAGGCAAGTCCTGTGTTAAATATTCCACTGGCTAGTTCATTACATCATGAGTACAATTCGTTGGCATGCACTGTTGAAATTGTGGATGATGTTTATGCAGCTATTGATCATATAAATCTTCATGGAAGGCATGTCACTCTATATATCTTGATGATGTGTTGGAAGCATATTTTCGTTTCATCCATCCCCGTCTGCTTCATTTCAAACTAGACCTATAGTAGTGCTGTGAGCTTAGATTAAAATTTGTTGCATTTTCTCCTGTGGCAGTGCACATACCGATGCTATTGTTGCAGAAGATCATCAAATAGCTGATGTGTTTCTACGCCAAGTGGACAGGTAATGTTTGAAATATAATGCCTTTTTATTCTGTTACTAATCACACTATCTACTCTACAGCATTTCATTATTTTGTGATTGAATTGCCTTTTATGACCAAGTTTTGTATTAATAAACACAATAACCCTTTTTTCTTGTAAGCAATCAACCCTCTTCCAGATTTCAGCACTTTGTACAATGGTAGTAATGCAAATAATGTTTGCTATATTGGCAGTGCTGCTGTTTTCCACAATGCTAGCACAAGATTCAGTGATGGGGCACGATTTGGGCTAGGTGCAGAGGTGCGATATTCTATTACATTCTTTTAATAATCAACCTCTTAAGAAAGTCATTGATTTAATTCATAATTCTCATGGGCTTATAGGTTGGAATAAGTACAAGCAGGATTCATGCTCGGGGTCCAGTCGGAGTTGATGGATTGTTAACGACCAGATGGTATGTGAGCTTGATGGTCATTGTAGTACTTCCAACCTGACTTAATTATAAGCAAAATTAACTAACTTGTGTGTCAATTAAGAAAGTTAGTTAACATTATTTAATTTTGTTAATCTCATTTAAAATGATTTTTTTCCTATACTATCCTTCATTGGAAATAGATTCTCAATTAAATGAAGGCTATTTTGGAGATGATAGGATAAAATTCGTTAAAATTTATTTGTCTACCACTCCTAATTTTTTTCTTCTTATATTTGAGTCTGAAGAGAGTATTCTACTTTTCAATCTTAGATAACACGATTCATTTCAATCACTTGAGGTACAAAAGATTTATGTGAGTAGATATAAAATGATATTAACTGATACTACAACCATTCATTTGGTTCTGTGCAGGATTCTGAAAGGAAGTGGACAAATAGTAGATGGTGACAAAGCAGTTAGCTACACTCACAAAGACCTTGCTATTTGATTCGTGTTTTTATCCAGTCAAAATTCATGAAGGGAGGGGAGAAAATAAAGGTCGCTAGGCTGTGCTTTATCTTCTCTATTGTGGGGCTAAAATTGTACAATTCAGTAGAGAGTAGGATATCTGTGCTGTCTGCTACTGATTTTTCCGTTCATCGGTTCATGTATTTTCTTTAGGATTGTTTTTTAACTGATATCAGTTGTTACAGTTGTGCAAATTAAAGCTTTCCTTTATCTCCAGAAAGGAAAAAAAATGCTATGTTCTGGTTCAAAGGAAGATGGATAGATTGTTATTACAATATGTTAGTCAATGACTTACATGGGCAAACATTGTTATTTGTTATGAATTATGATATATATTAAAATTTTCTAATGTCATTATTTAAAGTAGTTTTAATGTTTTATTGTAGCATATGGCTGACATTAAAGTGGAATCTTTTATCAAATGGAAGTAAAAATAACATTTAAAAGGAAAAAGTTTATAACAACACTTCCCAAGTCAAACTAAATATGTACACTCTTCTCGAGATTGAGAATTCTTATTTGGTGGACTAAATCAAGCATTTTCCTATGAGAGTTGTAGATTTGATTTTTTCTCGTTAGGTACATGGGAGTGACAATGTCACTAATTTGTTCTTTAATTAAGTACACAAATTGTTGCAAATGCCACCTTTCATAATCCTCTTAAAACCATACATGTGCATAACCTATTTATGGTATATAAAATCTGAAACATGGTTGTGAAGTTGGCATTTGCATGAACACTCTATTGTTGAGTCATTGCTCGACAACCAGCTGCCTCAAGGTAATAGTTGACAATCAATTCCTGAAATCACGTAACTATCACTATCACAAGCATAGACATTAGACATTAGACATTACGTGTGAACTTTGAAGGATATTCACTATAATCTACAGTTGTTTTCTTATTAGAACATAACATAGTGATGCAGAAAATTATTTAACACGTTACCTGATTCTCTATAAATACTCCCCCATGTACACACACTTTTAACACATAATATCGTTACTCTGCTAAATACTAATTTAAGCATAATCTCAACAATTATGTCTCCTATCAACGAGTGTAGAAGACCGACCATTAATGCAAATAAGAGAAAAGCTCTACAAACAATTTAGCTTCTTAAGATTTTGATTTTTTAGAATAATTAGAATTATATAAGTTTTATAGAATTTTAACGCACTCATGTAATGCGCATAAGAAGGATTGAATCGTCGCATTGTGGTTTCTAATTTTTGACAAGGACATTTGCATAAGCTATATTAATCCTTAGTTCCTTACAAATCTCTTTGAAAAAGACTATTTCTGGACCATTTAAAAAACATGACCGTAATTCTATAAGAAATTTAAGTCAATTTAAATAAACCTCTTTATAAGGCAAAACTAATAACCCCTCAGAAATGGCTAAGTTATTCCAAAACTTTACCCTGTCTCTTGTGCGTAAATGATGCCAAAGTTCAGCCCAAAAATTGCATTAAAAAGACAAAATCTTTACGTCATTTTCCTTTTTTCCTGATTCGGTTACATGCCTTCCTTTTCTCTACCGGGAAAGGTGCCACCTTTTTTGGCTTATCACACTCTTTGTGGAGAGCAAAACATGAATTCCTGACACCTCATATTATCTATTTTTAATCCTTATGGATTTCGATTTCATTTTCCTCATAATTTTGACATTCATATACTCATAAATTCATCTTTCTTCTCGTTTTTTAAAGACATAAAATTTTGTTTGTACCTCAATAGTTGTTACGTATTATAAGTTGATTACTCAAATGATATAATTTTTGTTCATGCACCGTCTTTTTTTTCTTCTTACTTTTAACATATTAATTCAAATTTGATTTTAACATATTAGTTCATGTATATTTTATTTAGGCTTATATTGGTATGTGAAATCACGATCGATGAGGAGTTATACTTTCTCATTAAAAATAAATAAAAGTAACCTAAGTCTGAATATGCATATTTTATATCTATATTTTATAATACTAAATTGTTGATGACATGGCAGATACTGGTGTTGCCTCCTCCCCGATAGAAAGCCACAAAGGTTATGGTCCGTACATTCTGGAGGTGCTAAATGATTTTGTCATTATCTATCTGAAACTACTATTTTAATACCTACAATTTATGTGAATATTTAGACTAAAAATTTATTTTGGTCTCTTATAATTTTTTTTTGTTTTAATTTAGTCCTTTATTAATTTTTGGTCTCAGTTTAGTCCCAAACTAATTAATTAGTTTCAATTTAGTCCCAAATTAATTAATTGGTTTTAATGTGAGACTTTTCATCCAAATTGTTTTAACGGTGTTAACTTTTGGCCACGTGAACGCCACGTAGATGCATACGTGGATGCCACGTGGATGAGAATTTTTTTGAAAACACCTGGACCTAGAACGGCCCGTTCTGACACTGGAACGGGCCGTTCCGGTTTCAGAACGGGCCGTTCCGATTTTATTTTATTTTATTTA